GCATTCTACTGGTGGCAAAAGCAGCACAAAGAGATTAAGTGACTTGATCATGGTCACGCAGGAAAGCCTGGGGCTGGCTGAATCAGAATTTGAACTCAGCTAGCTCTCCCAAGTCCCAAGGCAGTGCCCAATCCACTGCCATGCCATTCCCCCTTTCTTCCCTCATGCAAGATACACATAAGCCATTGAGTCATAACAAAATAAATTAGTAATTAAAAATACTTTGCCCAAGGAGCACTTTCTAACCAAAACTCTCAACACACTTTGTAAACACTGCCTAAACAAGCCTCAGAGAAAGTCTGAGAAGTAGACAGACTTTCTATTATCCCCAGTGCACAATTAGGTAAAGTGAGATACATATAAGTGAAGTGATTTGCCCAAGCCCATAAACAGAATTCTGGGCTACTAATTGAACCAATACATAAACACAGCTGGATGCAATCTGAATGCATGTGGGTAGGAAAACCAGAGACCCTCACTCGGACTGGGCAAGAGAGATCTCACATAAGGAGGCCAGCTGTTTGGCTGAGTACAGGAGAAGCCCACTTCTGTGAACATCAGAAATGATGGCGTCCTCATGATAAGCGAGAGCACATTAAGAATTTAAATGTATTGAGGGTCAAACATCACACCGCCTTACATCACACTGTGTTCACTGCATTGTTTTGAACGGTTGCTCATTACAGCTGCAGTCTGTTGTGGCGGTATGTAAAAGAAATGTTCATGGCACAGATGCTAGAAGGCAATGATGCTACTCCAGTGCTACTTGAGCCATCAGCTGGCAGAGGAAGATACTGAGCAAGGCAGCTAGTACACATTCCCCTGCACTCTGTTGGCCTGGGTCCTTTCCATCTACAGAGGGCTCCCGCAGCCATGCCATCACGCCAACTCAATTTTCTCCAAACCCTAAACTAATTTCAGAATTATACGCTTAGTTTTGTTGCTCAGTGCAGAAGCAAGTTATGACCAGAGCGAATTAGTCCATAGGAAGGCAGATTCTGAAGCTACAATAAAATCTCTCTTTTGATCTTCTGACTCCCCTCTCCAGCAACCACAAACATAGTAACATGATGTGACTGAAAACAGTCCTTTATTGACTCAGCCTAGAAAAAACCAGTCACACAGGCCAATCGCTTCTCATTGGGTTTTGTGGTTCCCTACTAGAGAATGCTAATGAGACAGGAATTTCCATGCTTCATTTACCTAAAAAAAGAGGAGGGGTCAGCCTCCAACTGATGGACCAGGGGGGATGAGGTCGATGAGGCTTTCTTCCGGTAACTCACGGAAATTCGCAGATCTAGATCGCAGGCCTTGGTTCTTATGGGAGACTTCAATCACCCTGCTATCTGCTGGGAGATCAATATAGCGGTGCACAGACAATCCAGGAAGTTTTTGGAAAGTGTAGGGGACAATTTCCTGGTGCAAGTGCTGGAGGAACCAACTAGGGGCAGAGCTCTTCTTGACCTGCTGCTCACAAACCAGGAAGAATTAGTTGGGGAAGCAAAAGGGGAGGGGAACCTGGGAAGCAGTGACCATGAGATGGTCGAGTTCAGGATCCTGACACAAGGAAGAAATGAGAGCAGCAGAATACGGACCCTGGACTTCAGAAAAGCAAGACTTTGACAACCTCAGGGAACTGATGGGCAGGATCCCCTGGGAGAATAACATGAAGGGGAAAGGAGTCCAGGAGAGCTGGCTGTATTTTAAAGAATCCTTATTGAGGTTACAGGGACAAACCATCCGGGTGTGTAGAAACAACAGTAAATATGGCAGGCGACCAGCTTGGCTGAACAGTGAAATCCTTGTTGATCTTAAACACAAAAAAGAAGCTTACAAGAAGTGGAAGATTGGACAAATGACCAGGGAGGAGTATAAAAATACTGCTCGGGCATGCAGGAGTGAAATCAGAAAGGTCAAATCACACCTGGAGTTGCAGCTAGCAAGAGATGTTAAGAGTAACAAGAAGGGTTTCTTCAGATATGTTAGCAACAAGAAGAAAGTCAAGGAAAGTGTGGGCCCCTTACTGAATGAGGGAGGCAACCTAGTGACAGAGGATGTGGAAAAAGCTAATGTACTCAATGCTTTTTTTGCCTCTGTCTTCACGAACAAGGTCAGCTCCCAGACTGCTGCACTGGGCAGCACAGTACGGGGAGGAGGTGACCAGCCCTCTGTGGAGAAAGAAGTGGTTCGGTACATTTAGAAAAGGTGGTCGAGCACAAGTCCAGGGGGCCAGATGCACTGCATTCGAGAGTGCTAAAGGAGTTGGCGGGTGTGATTGCAGAGCCATTGGCCATTATCTTTGAAAACTCATGGCGATCCGGGGAAGTCCCGGACGACTGGAAAAAGGCTAATGTAGTGCCCATCTTTAAAAAAGGGAAGGAGGAACCGGGGAACTACAGGCCAGTCAGCCTCACCTCAGTCCCTGGAAAAATCATGGAGCAGGTCCTCAAGGAATCAATTCTGAAGCACTTAGAGGAGAGGAAAGTGATCAGGAACAGTCAGCATGGATTCACCAAGGGCAAGTCATACCTGACTAATGTAATTGCCTTCTATGACGAGATAACTGGCTCTGTGGATGAAGGGAAAGCAGTGGACGTGTTCTTCCTTGACTTTAGCAAAGCTTTTGATACAGTCTCCCACACTATTCTTGCCAGCAAGTTAAAGAAGTATGGGCTGGATGAATGGACTATAAGGTGGATAGAAACCTGGCTAGATTGTCGGGCTCAACGGATAGTGATCAATGGCTCCTTGTCTACTTGGCAGCCGGTATCAAGTGGAGTGCCCCAAGAGTCGGTCCTCCGGCCGGTTTTGTTCAATATCTTCATTAATGATCTGGAGGATGTTGTGGATTGCACCCTCAGCAAGTTTGCAGATGACACTAAACTGGGAGGAGAGGTAGATACGCTGGAGGGTAGGGATAGGATACAGAGGGCCCTAGACAAATTAGAGGATTGGGCCAAAAGACATCTGATGAGGTTCAACAAGGACAAGTGCAGAGTCCTGCACTTAGGATGGAAGAACCCCATGCACCACTACAGACTAGGGACCGAATGGCTAGGCAGCAGTTCAGCAGAAAAGGACCTAGGGGTTACAGTGGACGAGAAGCTGGATATGAGTCAACAGTGTGCCCTTGTTGCCAAGAAGGCCAATGCATTTTGGGATGTATAAGTAGGGGCACTGCCAGCAGATCGAGGGACGTGATCATTCCCCTCTATTCAAGATTGGTGAGGCCTCATCTGCAGTACTGTGTCCAGTTTTGGGCCCCACACTACAAGAAAGATGTGGAAAAATTGGAAAGAGTCCAGTAGAGGGCAACAAAAATGATTAGGGGACTGGAACACATGACTTATGAGGAGAGGCTGAGGGAACTGGGATTGTTTAGTCTGCAGAAGAGAAGAATGAGGGGGGATTTGATAGCTGCTTTCAACTATCTGAAAGGGGGTTCCAAAGAGGATGGATCTCGGCTGTTCTCAGTGGTAGCAGATGACACAACGAGGAGTAATGGTCTCAAGTTGGAGTGGGGGAGGTTTAGATCGGATATTAGGAAAAACTTTTTCTCTAGGAGGGTGGTGAAGCACTGGAATGCGTTACCTAGGGAGGTGATGGAATCTCCTTCCTTAGAAGTTTTTAAAGTCAGGCTTGACAAAGCCCTGGCTGGGATGATTTAGTTGGGGACTGGTCCTGCTGTGAGCAGGGGGTTGGACTAGATGACCTGAGGTCACTTCCAACCCTGATGTTCTATGATTCTATGATAAATCATATCAGGCTACAGAAACCATCTTCTTCAGAAATCAGAAGACGAAACTTTAAAGTGTCATGCACTGGATGTGAGCATGGGATTTCTACAGTCAGCCATCCACAGTGAATCTGCAACAGCCATTCTCCAGCACAAAAGCTGAAGTCATGTTATATACAAACACAAGACACGGAAAGGATGCGCAGTGTCTCCGCCATGTAAATGGACTTTTCTGACACACAGGCTGAATTTCTTTTCCATTGTGAAGGCTACTTAACATCCGACTCTGCAAAAGTGGACACCCATTAAAAGGGGTGAGATTTGAGTAAACACTGCACCTTATATTGAATTAGTGCTTCATCTTGCCATGAGCCCCTACTGCAAAAACAGTAGGGAGGAGGGAGTTGAGGCAACTAACAGCTTCCATTTAGGGAGTGTGTGACTAAGGGATAAGAGAAACTAACTGCTAAGGTTGCACAAGATGCTCCTGAGGGAATTCTGCGCCACTGCACAAGGCAGAGGTTTGCAGAAATTAACGTTGTGCACACAATTTCCTTTCCCCCACAGAAATGGGCAGCAGTGCTGCTAGCCGCCACTGTACTCGGCAGAACCCAGCTTGCACATAGAAGACACCGTGGGGGAGGGAGCTAGAACAGTGGTTCTCAAACTTTAGTGCTGATGACCCCTTTCACATAGCAAGCCTGTGAGTGCGACCCCCCTTATACATTAAAAACACGTTTTAATATATTTATCATCATTATAAATGCTGGAGGCAAAGTGGGGTTTGGGTTTCCATTGAGGGTATCTCACCCCCTAGCTGGGCTCGGGGGCGGGGGGCAGAGAAACAGGAACTGGGTTGTCATAGGGGGTTCTTTAACTCTCTACTCCTGCGGGAATGTGTGTGTGTGTGTGCTGTCTGGTTACAGACATACTTGCTGACAGGTATTTTGAAATAAATTACCAAAATAATTGAAACTGGCATGACTATGTAGTGTTATTTTGACAAATAAAATTTGCAGAATTTTACAATATTGTGCAGAGAATTTTTAATATTTTGGTGCAGAATGCCCCCAGAGTAACAAGGATTTTCCAACAAGGCCAAGTAGGTCTGTGTGTAATGCACATATTGCTGCTGGTACAGCCACGTGTGCACAGACATATATTCTTGAGTCCTTGGCCGGGCTTCAGTAAGTAAATCAAAGTCTATGTGCTCTAAGTCTGTGCACCGTTCACTGGTGCGAGAAAAGAAGACTTCCCCACTCACCGATCCACTGCTTCCACATCGAAGCAAAACCTCTTCTCTATCGAGTCAGTTTTCCGGCGTATGCAGGATTTGAGTGTGACTGCTTCATCTTCTCCCTACAAGGATACAGGACTTCTAGATTAGGTTCAGAACAGAACTGTGTATATTACACACACTCAGCCTACTAGAATTATGATTAATATGTATTAACCCCAGAGGGGATGGCTTGTGGCATAAGGTTTGAAATATCCACACTCCCTGGAAATACAGCATTTGAATCTTTGCCAAGTGATCAGTCCATGACTTATAGATACCTCTGACTGAATCTGGGGGGGGGGGGGGGTGCAAGGGGAGAGAAGCGGCACCCGCTGCCGGGGGCTGCTGAGCAGCAGCTGCTCCAAACTACCCCAGGACCACTGCTGGGGGAGGGAGGTGGGGCCAGCAGCAGCATCTGCTGTGGGCCGCCCCAGGACCTTTGCTCAGGGGGTCCCCGGGGCCAGCCACACCGACCGCTGCAGAAGTCACGGAGGTTGCGGAAAGTCACAGAATCTGTGTCTTCTGCGACCTCCGTGACAGACACAGAGCCCTAGAGATAATACATTAAAACTATATATCAACTCACTGAACAAAATGCATGCGAATTGAGCACACATTTACCAGCACAGAAGAGGAAATGCAGTGGGGACATGATAAAGATCCTTTTTACCGTAACACTGCCCAAGACATGTATGAGTAATTACGACAACAAACATAGCACAGGTTTTTCTTTAATGCGAGGTGAATGTAGACAGTTGTTGAGTGATTCCGTCTGATGTGTGCTCTTGATGTCTCAGGTGAATTTTTAAAAAACACCGATGGTTCGATTTAAAAAAAAAAAAAATGAAAAAAGTTTTGAGTTTACAAACTTCCTGTGCTTTTCATGCCTTTTTCACGCTTCACTGACCAGTCGTGCTGGACAATCACAACACTGATATTAACCATTCCAGAAAATGTATTAAGGGCATAGAATAACATTGACACCAATAGCCTGTTCTAACGAACTCTCCACATCAGGGGTGGGCAAACTTTTTGGGCCGAGGGCCACATCTGGGTGGGGAAATTGTATGCAGGACGGGGCAGGGTGTGGGAGGGAGTACGGTGTGCAGGAACGGGCTCAGGGCGAGGGATTGGGGCAGAGGAGGGTGCAGGGTGTAGCAGGGGGCTCAGGGCAGGGGGTTGGGGTGCAGGAGAGGTGTGGGGTGCAGGCAGGGAGTTGGGGGACTGGGTGCAGGAGGAGTTCGGGTTCTGGCCTGGCACCGCTTACCTAAAGCGGCTTTGGGGTGGCAGCAGGGTGCACTGGGGCCAGGGAACCTGCCCTGGCCCCACGCCACGCCCGGCCAGGAAGCAGCTGGAACCGCGGACCGGGGGAGGAGGCCACAGGGCTCCACGCACTGCCCTTGCCACGCCTTCAGGTACCTCCCCCAAAGCTCCCATTGGCCGCAGTTCCCTGTTCCTGGCCAATGGGAGCTGCAGGGGGCGGTGCCTGGAGGCAAGTGCAATGCACAGAGCCCTCTGCCCCTCCCCCCGCCCCGAGGCCCCAGGAATGTGGTGCCGGCCACTTGTGAGAGTGGCACGGGGCCTGTGGCACCACGGGGGGCAATCCTGCGGGCCGGATCCAAAGCCCTGAAGGGCCAGATCCGGCCGACAGGCCATAGTTTGCCTACCCCTGCTCCACATTGACTGCAAAAATTCTGCCAAGAGGATCAACAGAGTTAGCTTGTGCCCCACTCCTGAACTCATTTCCCTGAAGTTAGCTGGATTTGTCCACTGCTGCCAGGGAAGTGGTATTCAAAGAATGCCATTTGGAGAGAAAGCAATTTTAAACTGATTAGTATTTGGCTCCAGCCATAGCCTGAGGTGGCTTCCCGAGAGGATGAAAACAGGCTGACAACAAACAGAGCCTCCACAGTCTACAACAGAGATCCCTCTAAAAAAAGAAAAGGAGGACTTGTGGCACTTTAGAGACTAACAAATTTATCTGAGCATAAGCTTTTGTGAGCTACAGCTCACTTCATCGGAGATCCCTCTGCTGATCAAGAGAGGTCACATATCACCCTTCTGCTGCTGCTGTCTGCTTCAGAAAGATTCCTGGCATGGGATGACTTGAAAGGCCTCTAAAAACTACAGTATTTGTTATAGCAGAGTCACTGTGGGCTAGTCTACACTAGACAATCATACTGGTATAACTGTGTCAGTTAGGGGTGTGGTTTTTCACAGATATAGTTAGCAGGGTACAAGCTCTAGTGCAATGCAGTTATACTGGTATAAAAGTACCTTATATTGGTACAGTTAAAGCAGGGGGGAAAGGTCATCTGCTGTGAACAAGCACTAAGTGAAGTGAGCATCCCCAAGCAAGGAGTCATGCTAAAGACCAGAAAGCAATGGAAGGGAGTCCATTCTACCTGGGATGGAGTGTATAGAAAGAGCCATGGGTGCTAGACAGCCCATATATTAATCTCAGGGGACATTTCTGCCATTACTGAAATGTAGGGGAGCTGAAGTATCGTGGTCAGGTCACCCTTAAAAAGGGGACTGATCTCTGTAGGTGCTTTGCTTGGTTAAAGAAATATAAATTCATACAGTGAAGAATGTATCTGGCACTGGCCACTGTCAGGAGACAGGATACTGAGCTAGATGGACCATTGGTCTGACCAAGTATGGCCATTGTTACATTCTTGTGTTCTTACACTACACCAAATTTTGGCCACTTTATTTCTGAGAGTGTCCACACGGGGCTGTGCAGTTTAACTAATCCACTTTCAATTCTCTCCTTTAATTAACTCGGATTAACTTTCCTGAGCGTCCCCAAGTAGACAAGCCTTTAGGGTCTGCACATGTGGATTTATTCTTGAATAGCTCCATAAGTAGACAAGCTCTTACTCAGTTGCTGAATTAACATTGGCAGAGTAAACAATATATTTCCCCAGCATTATGGTTTACATAGCTTGTTAGTACCCACAGAGATGTGATCTACATCTCTTTCAATCAGCACCCTGAGGCTCTCTTTGCAATATCTGCATATTACTATTTTGAGCCACCCTTTCAGTGACTAATTAGCTAGTGATGTGGGTGTGTGCCAGAGAGAGTGGATGTTAACAACTCCTTAGAGTACTCACTGGAGGGGAAAGCTTCTGATTGAAAGGCAGCAGTGGCCTTTCCAGCAAAGAGTTCTCTCCCAGGGAAAAGTTGGGGTGTCAGCCTCAAAAGATAAGAAAACTTAGGTGCCAACCCTTTACTGTGTCATTCTGCTATAAAAGAGTTTCCAGCAGAGGTTAGTGGGGAGAGAATAGACTTAGAAGACTGGATAGAACCCACCAATGAAATCCATCAGTTTTGACAGTTTCAAGGGCTTGTCACTGACAGACACAAGGCACTCCCTACCCAACCTTTCTTGGGCCAAGAGCAAGACTCACACCATCTCTTCCCCAGAAAATGATGATTAGGGTGACTTGGCGTATTTCCACTCACCCCTTTTCCTCCAGACTTCTGGTCAAATGGTACCATAGTGATTCGTTTCGATTCCCTCTGATACGTGCAGTAATGCTTCACCCAAGAGGTCCCAAAGTGACCTACAATGGAATTTAAGTTTTGAGATTTCTAACAATTAACTAAGGTCTACAAAGCAGTTGTTACCAAAGACACAATTAAACAGCCTAAGACCAACTATACAGACTTTTGCATCTATAGTTCTCAAACGCACCTTACAAAAGCGAGTAAAAGCACGATAATCCCCACTGCATGGAGGGGAAAGCAGAGATCCAGAGTTAAATCAATCACTGGCAGAGTCGGGAATAGAATCCAAGTCTCCAGACTCCGAGCCCCGTGACCCATCCATTGGGCCAAGCTGCTTCCTATGGACAGACCTGGTAATTTGCTAAATTAGCTTTAGTTTCATATTCCATGATATAATCAGAGAATTAGCTACAGGAAAACTACAGAACAGACCTGTTAGTATTTATCTTGCCCACCTTTAGTCATTCATGTATATTCTCCAAGCTTGGCTCCATCCAATTTTGCAATGTACCAAGGAATGAGGCTTCAGCAGTTTCACTTGAGCAAATTACTCCTCAGTCTACTATATTGGCTCTACCCACTATCATCGGCCTCCATGTCATTTCAGATTATTCCTAGAATGTAGCATTTACTCACTCTCCACGCAAGGCAGAAGTGGGCATTTAGTGAGGTTCTCCTTTTATCCCACTGTACAGACTCCAGACCGTTTTTGCAGACAAGTTTCTCACTTTTAAGGAAGATACCCTACTAACTGCTTTCCCACTTTTGCCTGAGATCACCAATTATGGAGTTCTATCTACATATTTATCTGCCCGCATCATCATAGCATCGGAGCACTTCACAATCCGTAATGTATTTACCCTCGCACACCTCCGTGAGGTAGGGCACTGCTGTTATCCCCATTTTACAGAGAGGAACTGAGACACAGAGAGGACAAGTGACTTGCCCAAGGCCACACAGAGGGTGGAGCAGAGAATTGAACCAGTCTCCTTAATCCCAGGTAAGAGATGAACGACTGGGCCACCCTTCTTCTTCATAGAAATTAAAGATAGAATTGACTTAGCAGATCATTTAGGAGTCTTTCCTGACCCTTGGATCAGGCTCCTAGTAGCTGGATTCTAGTTCCTCCCCCTACCACGGCAGGGTTGTTCAATGCAGTATCTTCTCCAGTGCCAAGACCTTTACTTCTATCCACCCAGGGTGATGAGACAATTTGCTAAGATGGGCTTCAAATTCCATGCCAGACTCAGGGAATTTCCAAGTTACACAGCCAGAGCAAAGTGCTGTAGGGATAGCCCCCACCTATTCTGGTTAGTACTAGACACAATTCATTTTTCAGGGACAGCAAAGAGAGTACGCCAAGGAGCTAACAGGCTCAGCAGGAACAGACTACCTCATTGGGTGCAAAAAACCCAAAGGCTGGTAAAAGGAGAACTGTGAGGCGTGAACCATGGAACCAGCTCATATGCTGGTTGTCCTATGGGATTCACCTGCAGAGTCATCATGGGGGAAAACTGAAGGAGCTGGAGATAATTTCCCAGAACTGCAGAACATGGGCCCACCCTGCCAACAGGGGGATGCTCCTGCAGAAAGCTGCACAAGTGGCTACCCTAGCCCTGTAATTCAAATCCAACTCAAGAATTGACAGGATTTATTTCTTCCCCCAATCCCGCCACCTCTTGCCATTTCACATGGACCATGATGTTTTGCAGAGCCAGTGCTCCCACTCTGCACTTCAGTCTCCTCTGAGTGGCAGCAGAGAGCAGCTCAGTAACTTCAAGGCAACCACACTTACGTTTCTCCTGGACATAGAGATAGCCTTCCATTGTGAAAGGGCTGATGTTCTTGTGCTCGTCGGGATTCTCCTTCATCTTCCTCATCAAGGACTCGACCTCTGACCGGGTCCCTTCAAAACGACTTCTTGTCTATGATTTTCGAAAAATATATTTTCCATTATCCACGTTTCCTCAGAGCTTTCAATAGACACAGCGCTACCTGTGTGCTATTGTTAAAGGAATTTACATAGAGACAACCAGGGAACAGTGGCTAACTTTATCTGGTGCATTTTCCATGCCACCCTGGTTCAGAAGTCCATCCCTATTCAGCAAAATACCGAAGCTCATATTTACACCCCACTGATTTCACCAGGACTTACGTCCTATTTAAAACACTTTGATGAATATGAGTGGATTTAAGCACATGCTTGGCTTACTTGGAGTCTCTGTTCCCTCATCTCATAATTTTTAATGATGATAGTTATGGTTGTGGCTGGCAGCACTGCCAACTAATCAGGTTATCTAACACTTCCCATTATAACACCCTGTTTTCAGTTACTTGATCAAACTTTTACTGTTTGGGCTGAAATTTTCTATGCCAGGTATCTGCCTCAGGCTAAATGTTATTGGAAAATTTCAGCCAAAATGATTTGGTAATTTCTGAGAACAAGGCAAGGGGAAAAGCACATTTTACCCATGCTAAATTCTGACAACTTTGAAAAGTTATAGTGCCCTTTTGCTTTGGAGTAAGGACTGGTAATTTGACAGGGGGTGGCTTTTGTGTCAGCAATATGCCTTTTGCCGTTCCTGTGGAGAATCACTCAGATCTGCCCAAGTTATAATCCCTATAAAAAAAAAAACAACCAACAGTTTGCACATCAATAGAAACTTGCTAAAGCTTCAGCTTAATTCCCAAAAGATCCCATCCTCTGTTTGCAAGCTCTAGACGGGCTGAGCAGGTTTTTTCCTGCAATTGCAGCGGTGGCCTCTGTGGACTGTGCCAGGCCCAGGTCTGGGCACTGGAACGGAGAGCAGGCAGCCTGTCTCTGCTCTGCTCAGCCCAGGCAACATGGAGGATGGAGCCGCCTGAACTGAATGCAGAAGGAACAAGAGTAAGACATAGGGATGTGGGGTGAGTAGACTGGATAAGAAGCCAGGGACAGGAGGGAAACTGGGAACCAGAGGAGCAGGGGAGACAGACATGACAAGGATCTAGGGCACAGGAAATCTGAGTTCTGACATTTCCCAACTTTGCAATCTTCATAAGGTTTTTACCATTGTGTATGTGCATGCCTGTAATATATACACATGCTGTAGTATTGTACAGAATCGGCCCAAAATACAACAGTGTTACTATGACATTTTGGGCAGACAGAGAGGCAGGAGTTTAAACCGTTCGGGGGGGGGGGGGGGGGGCTTTTTAGTGAAGGGCTCTGTTGTCTCCTCTACTCCCAGTGCCCAACCCCGACTAGGAGGTTGGAAATCAAATCTGATCTCTTGCACAACACCACGGAGCACTGTGGCTGTGCACGCGGGATCACCCAGCGCACCTCATTTTGACAGGCGCGCGAATGAATTCTATTCAGTTTTGTAAACTAGCATTCAGGGGCAAAGGCTGGTACGTGGCAGAACACCAGGGGCCCCAGTTACTGCAGTCTTTACTGAAAGTGGAAGCACCACACAATGATAGGTAAGACACAACAACAAACTGCTGTCCTTCATCAAATGGTTTCACAGGGCCGCATTTTTGACTTTTTTGAGGGGGGGGGAGAGGGAAACAAGCACTGAGGTGTGTGGTGTTTTTTGGGAGTTTTCTGATGACTGTTTCAGAGAGAATTAAGCAAATTTGCATCCTTTGGAGAAAAACAGTAATCCTAATTAAAAAAAGGCAAACAAGCAATGCACATTTGATCTCCCAAACACAGGCACAAGTCCACCTGTTGGATACTAACCACATGTCTGGCTCTCAGGGGAGGAGGAAGTGCAAGTTCTCTCATCTATAGAAATCCCAATGTCTGCCACTGACCAAAAAAAAAAAAAAAGGTGGGGGGGGGTCACAATTCTTAAGACAAGTCTTTGAAATACACGCTAAAAGTGTGATGCATTTAAAGACGGCTGTCTGCTTGCCAAGTCCTCCTGAGGATGCCTGGCTCTCTGCACTTGCCACACCCAGCAGAATAAATTGCTATTTGGGGTTGTGCATTTAGTGTAGTGTCATCTACACACACAAAAAGAAAGCATTTGTTTTCATTTATGCCATAAAGCCTTCTGTTGAGTAGCACGCGGGAAAGCTAATTATATATAGGGAAAATGCTAATTCTCTGTGCAAAACAGTCACACACAGACTTTCCCCTTTACATACACTTACATTCTGTATGCTGATTGTCAGCTCTGTCTTGAAGTCGCTGAAGTCCTTTGCGAGTTCGTAACCATGATGGTAGAATGTGAAGAGCCCTTGCAGGAATGCCAGCAGCTGCAAAGGACCATATTCATCAATAGAGATCACCACCTTTTTCAAACTGACCGATGCTGAAGATGTCATTGAATGGAACAATGTTTTAGAGGGGCAGATTTTTGAAGGCATAAATTGGAACTAGTAAATTAGTTAACAGTCAGTGAAAGTTGGGCACTTATCTCCTATTGGTGCCTTTGGGAAAAAAAAAAAAAATCTCCCACTACACTTTGATAGGTGCACGTACAGAATTGAATCATTTAAGAGTTCTTGTACGGTGGGGCAAAATAAGCAATGCAGATGAGGGAAGAAGAGAGTGAAGATCCAGATGAGACTGAGGGAAGTTCTAGGGGTGTAAACTCTATTTTCTCTCTTCAAGAGTGGATAGGGACAGGCGATCCTGGCTGGAAGGGGCACAAAGGCCAAGTCCCTGTTGAAGAAACATTCAAGACGACAGCAAAACGCAGCCTAGGGCCCCCTAACGCCAGTCGAGGTCCAAACTATAGCGACTGCATTCTATGACCCCCTGAAAGCCAGTGCACACATTCCTCCATTCTCCAGCTCTCCCTCTGTCACGCCATTATAACAAACAAAGGGAAGATACTATGAAACTGATTCCTGGAAATCAGAGAGAGAAATTCCTCCCTATTCCCCAGGATCTGTTACACAGGCTACATTCATTGAACACAACAATGTTAATTAATATTGCCCCTGGACAATCAATACCTTCCGTAGTATTAACTTGTGTGTCCTACTTCCATAAGGAATTGGGCTTCATTTCCCACCTCTGCCTCAAAGCAGCTCATTTTCCCTTTCAGGAAATGGATTACCACGAGGACTGGTTGAACCAATTTGGCTTACAAACCAACCCCAACCTTCATAGCAACCTCTAACCCAAAGAGGGAGTTCGGCAAAACATGCGGTGATTTATTGTTCTTTCCTGTGACCCTCTGCACCTCTGGGCTGAATCCCAGACTGGGGGTGTTAGTGATTCAGTATTATGAAAAAAAAACTTCTTTCCTTTTCTATCTAGGTACATATATGGCCCTCGTCACTGCAGCATCCAAGTGCTTCACAACCATTAGTGGATTTTATCTCAACATCCAGAAGAGGGTAATAAGTATTGCCCCATTTTACTGATGGAAAACTGAGGCACAAAAAAGTGCCAAAAGTCTTTGCTAAACTGGGAACTGAACCCTAGCCTCACTAGTCCCAGTTCAGCATCCAGTAGACCATCACTCCTTTCCATGAGCTTTCCTGCCTTCACTGATAGCTGATAATATATCAACCAAAATACTAGCATCTTGGGGTTTCGCCCAGAACCAGTTCCACTGGGATCCCCAAACGATTAATTTTTTGACCACAGAGATGAGTATCTAACTAAACAACCCTTCTTTTTTAGGCTCAATTTACCCTGCTGTTTCAAGTCCAATGTCCACAAATCCAATGCTCACAGAAGACTCCTCTATGCTTCACTAACATGCCATGTTGTACGGGACAAAGCAGGAGTCTGTCTAATCAACTCCTGTAGAATATCAAGCTGAGCTTTTTTGATAACTAGGCCTTCCACTCGTCTAGTAAAAATCCTGCATACAACCCCCTCCACATCCTTGAATAGTTCACCCATCACTTTATTGAGAAGTAGAGTCATGCCTTGTCAGAGTAAACCAGGCAATAAGCAGCTAGTGCTAAGGTCGTACCGTCTTTTGGTTTATTCTTCTCTTAAAAGGACTGAAATAGGGTTTTATCAAATCCCTCAGAGGTGCTTCACCAGGCATAACATCTGAGCACATGTACAGGTAAGACTCTTCTACTTAATTTTTATTCCTGTATCTTTTCTTTAGTCCTATTTTTTCTCTTCTTCTCTCTCTAAGACTCCATTAATCTCAGATGCTACTGTCATTATTGGCTTTTATTTTCCCTTTAACAGATAAACTTTTGAACCAGGTTTTCATTCGTCAGTTGACCACTGTCTAATAATGAGCCTCTCGTCCATAAGACTTCACCCTGGTGGAAATTCTTGTAGAATCCATCAGAGTTTTGTGCACAGTGAACAAGACGCTAACAACTCCATCTCCACTAGCCTGTGCCCTTTCACGATTGGTACCCAAGCCTTTCTGTGAGCACAATGGGGAAAATGTCTTTGGGAAGGTTGGTCTCTACAAGCAGAGTCCAGGGTCTGGGTTAAAGTCAGCTGGGGGACTTACCCCCTTTTTGTTCCTGCTTAGAACTTATTTCACATACCTATCCTAAATTCTATCCCTTAAGGAAGAGGCCTTGCTGACTAAAACGTGTGGTTGTTTTCTTCTCTGCAGTGTCATTCCATTAGCTTGCAAATCCAGCTGGTCTCCACTGGTTTCTACAGACAACCAGTAGCTCAGACAACCTAATATTCTGTTCCTAAACTTAGCTGACAGCTGGAACCTGTTGACAATTTTCACCTGAAATTTCCAAGAGGGTCATCCCCACCCCTGCATTCTTCTCTTCTCTCTGTCTCTTGATAAGTGCCTTAAGGGTTAAAGTTCCAGCAACCTGAGGTGTCTAGTCACCCACTAGAACACACGTCATACTTCGGGTACTGCAGTTTCTGTTTGTCAGACGGTTCTGGAACAGCAGAGACACCAGGCCTTCCATCCAAACAAAATAGAAACTGTTTCACAAAATCAGTGCTTCAGACAAACCTTCTATACTGTAAAGTAATTTAGTGGCCAACAACGCTCAGCAGGCAAAGAAACTTTGAATATTTACTTACAGGTTCCACGAATTCAAACATTTTCCTCTCCTGGACTTCTTGCACCTTGAAGACATACTCAAGGGAGACTTCATAAAAATGCTGTCGAACCAGGTCCACCTGGCTGTCTGCCTGTGAGCACCATGGGGATTAGAGAGGAAATACAGTATAACTACTGACTGAACATTTAGTTTCAAGATCACAAGACATCTGGGTCTAATGAGAACGTGCCCATACAGAACATAAATTTCGTACCAGATACCAAAGCAGGGCTAAGCAGATGGCAGGGAGATTACATACAAACCTAATTCGCATGAAGACACACTTTCTTCATCTGAAAATTATGTATTTAATTATTTTTGTGCTCTTATGTCTATGACAGCTGGGTGGACAACAGTAAAAGCAATAAATACATGAAGACTATGAAGCTACAAAGTAGCTTTCCCAGCTCCTCTGCCCCAACCAGCAAATCCATGATAAGAAGAGTCCCTCAAGTAATATTCTATAGTCAAATAAATACTCAGATAGCCTAGTATACATCTTGCACTTCACCATGAAGCCCAGTGAGCTCTAGCTTTGATGAACCAGCAGAAGGAAAGCGCATTGTCCTTTGACAGTGGTTTGACTACAAGGCCCAAGAGAGCATGACTGGCGACCATCCTTAGCCACCATGATGGTGCATCCGGACACATACGTATGTACCAGGATGGAACTACATCACTCTTATGTGAAACACCATCCTCTTTTTTAACATGCAGAGGAATTAAGGTGGCCTTCAGAGCTCTGCTCCTAGAAACCTGCTGACTCTCTTTCTTTTGTGACTGTGGATTCAGTTCTTCCCAATGATCAAAACTGGATATGGTCAGCTCCCAAACCAAGGGGACACCCAAATAAAAATAAAATGACTCAGTAACTTTGTAATCGATGTACTCCTTCTCTGTCCTACCTCATTTAAGGATTGCATAGCACTTAAAACCTCACAATCAGAACTTTGCGAAGTAGTTAAAGACTACTGCCCCCATTTTACAGATGGGGACCTGGAGGTCAGAGAGGCTATGGGCTGTTTTTCTAAGCACCACAGTCCCCACTGAAATCAAATGTAGGTGCTAGACACTGGGGGTGAAGGGGGATTTAGATGCTAAATTACTTGCCTGGGGTCCTCAGAAAGCCAGTAGCAGAACTAGGAATCCAGGTCTTGCTTTACAAAGTATAAGGATTATTACACTAAATAAATTCATTACAGCCCCTTTATTTACTCAATTGTTTCCTTTGCCTCTGCTGTGCCGGTGTGCCCTCCACTGCAATTACAAAACAACAGTTTTCAGAGAATTCTAGAAGTGAATGGCAAGAAAGGCCAGTTAGATCATCTAGTCCATCCTCACTCAGTGCAGGGCTGTTTTCTATGGCCTTGTCTACACTAGTATAGCTCAGTCCACACTTGGGGTTGTAACAGTTTAACGACATCAATTAAAAATACCCACAGCCTTAACCAACATAATTATACAGGTATAACTTTCCAGACTAATAGTACCTTGCACAGAGTTTGGCCACAGCAAGACCGCTGGGAAGTCAACACCAGGGTAATTTGAGAAGAGCAATCTACCCCAGGGGGACATACCAGACATTGTGCTCAATACAGAGCCTAACATGCGGCTGCTTTTACTTTTGCAGACCATTGGTGGTAATTACTTCCTTTTTAATAGGAACTTATCCCTATTAATCTGGGACAAAATCATGAAATGGGTTATTTCCATGACCAGCCTGTAATATTTGTCATGTGTGTCCATAATGCAGATACCGAGGTATTTAGCAAAGTGAGCTCTGAACACGAGAAAACGTGATACAGTATACTGGACTTGCCAGCAATTAAATGGCAAATTAGACTTCCTGTGCTGTGTAAACTGTCCAACAGCCAGAGCTGTAGAGCTAAAGAGAATTCCCAGGTTCTCTCCCCTTCCCTTTACTATAACCATTGTACATGAAGATATTTCACTCTCCCAGATGTATTGGCAGTAAGAGGAAGTTGGTACAAAGTGAAGGGTTTCCCTTTCCCACACATGAATTACTGTCTCTTAGTAGGTCGGGCCCTACAATGCAGCTATATAGTGCCAATAAGGCACAGTACACCCTCTTCTAAAGTTACCACCACGCCACCAACTGCATACTTTTCAACATGCATCTGTCATTCCTCTGGCTGACTTCCCCTCTCTGGAATCCCAGTTCACAAGCTAAGAAAATAAGTTGTACTACTTTTATATGCCATGAAGAACCAAAGCCAACATTTTCAAACATGGAGGCCTAGAGTTAGATGCCCCATTCCAATTTAAGGCACCTAAAGGGCCATGACTTTCAAAGAGGGTCTGCTTACATAACTCGTTCTGTATTTTTTAAATCAACGGGAGCTGTGGGTGCTGCATACCTGTGAAAATCAGGCCTTTTATTTGGGTGCCTAAACATGGAATGAGGTGCCTTACTTTTATGCAAGCAAGTCTGAAAGCATGGGCCTATGCTATCTAAGTATTCTCTTCTTTGCAATAGGCCTCCAAACCAAAGTTGAACATAAAAAAATCTCCACCAGATGGCACTGGTATTCAGGGCTGCTACCCTGATCTCCTCTATAGCTCTTTATTGCAGTTACGTTGGAGCAATACCAACACAGTATCTACTGCCATTATTAGGCTTTTCCTTGGAGAAAGGTACCCTAATGCTCAAGGAACACTCATTTTAAATGGCATAACGCGTTCTATACCACTTTCCCTCCCCGCTCTAAAACGGAATCCTCCCACTCCAATAAGGCACAGCATTGAACATGCAGTACTTCGAACGCTTAAAGTAAAATGGTGACGAAGGAGCAACTAGATCACAATATTTAGCAGCCTGATACAACAAACCACGACCACGACTGAGGCCCGAGGGCACTGCTGTATTATAAGTAATAAATAACAGACTATCCATGCTCTCCAGCAGGGGCAGATTAATCAGGACTTACAACTGGCTTGTGCAGTCCTGTGAATCAGGAGACAAATGTGGATAATTACGGGGATTTATGGGGGGATGGGTTTGATTGACTTTAGATTTTAGAAAGGCAAGTAATTATTATTTATTATTTGTATTCTCATATTGCCGAGCAGCCCCAGCCATGGAGTAGGACCCTATTGTGCTAGACGCTATACAAACACAGAATAAAAAGACAGTCCCTGTCACAAAAAACTTACAAGCTTTGGCCAAGATCTCTTTCACAGAAGTCATTCTCTAAGGCCAATAAATAGATAATGCCCCGGGCAGATCAAAAAACAGACCTTAGGGTAGCTCAGGGAGCACTGAAGTTCACAGGAGTGACTTTGGGTATGTCTACATTGAGGAGAAAAAAAAAAAAAAAAAAGAGAGCCCTCCCCCTCCTGCACACGCACACACACACGGTAGCAGAGAGCTTCAGAGACCAGGTCTACAGACTCAGGCTCATGCTACACCACTAAAAATACTGGTGTAGACATTCCAGTTTGGGCTAGAACTCCGGGTCTGAAGCCAGAGCACCAGCTCCAGTCCCAGCCCAAGCCAAAACATCCACTCAGCTGTTTTTACAGCAATAGCACAAGCCCTGCAAGCCCGAGTCCGTAGACCTGGAATCCGAGGCTTTCCACTGTGGTGGAAGGGGGTGGGGGCGTGTCATTTTTTGGTTGGTTTGCAGTGTAGATGTACCCTTACCTAGTGTTTGGCACAGTAAATTGTTGTTAATTAGATAGCTTCCATCTGAATTAGAGGGTTTTATGCAGTTTTGAAACATTAATGAATTAAGCTCACAATTTTTCCTGTTTATTAGGTATTAATGAGCCCATTTTACGGGCTAGGAAATTGAGGCACAAAGCAGGGAAGCAACTTAGCAAAGTTGATACAGGATGTCTGTGGCAGACCCAGGAGTAAGACTCTAGTCTCCTGATATCCTGTGCTTTTAACCACAAACTGTCTCTCCCCGCCTAGTCATTGTCCTTTTGGTGGTATCTTGGATTCATTTTACCACAACAGAGAGAAAAACCCATCATTCTCGGTCAGCATGAACATATCCATTTTACAGCCACACGGTGGGTTCTGCTAGTTGTAGACAGAGATCATGACTCAGGAGAATGCCAGAAGTTGAAAACAAGAGCTTGCTCTCACCTCTTGAAGTTGGGATTCTTTCTTCTTAGAAGACAAGTTTAAGTGCTTTTCCAAGACACCACAATACTTCTCCGTCTCCTTGTCGTATTTCTTCTTAGCATCCTACCAAAAAAACCCAAACACCACGAAACAAATGTCACATTAAACCATCAAGAGCAGGCACATGACACTGGCTCCTTAGGGGCCCAACACCAAGACAATGATATTACTGGTGTTACCACAGCAGCTAGGAGTCCAAGTCATGGACCAAGACCCTACTGTGCTCGGCACTGTTCAAACGCAGACCAAAAATTGTCCCTGCCCCAAACAGCTTACATTCTAAGTGCCAGACAAGAGACGACAGGTGCAAGGAAACAACATGAGACAATGCTGGTCAGCACAAGGGGCAGTGGTCTCAGCACACCAGCAGCCTCGCTGTGGTCAACTGAATGTGAACGAACCATTTCCAACAGGGAATGTAGTTCCAATGTAACACGGTCTCATCAAAGGAATTTTAACCAACATGTGTCTATGAAAACTAAGGGGGGAAATAATGGAGTGCTTCTAAAGAACCAAGAACAGTGGAGTTCACCATGCTACAATACTGAAAGAAAAGAACTGCCTAGGTGACTTATTTTCCCCCTCAACAGCAAATATGCCAAAGTCAGTGCAGAAAGTCACAAACTGCACATTCCTTTTCTGTCCCCAGGAAGAAAAGTACAAAGTCAGTCAATAGCAGGAGCCAAATTCATCTCTGACGTAAGCAGGCGAAAAGGGATTTTTCTCTTTTACAAGATCTGAACTGGGCCCAGTGGTTTCAGTGGGATCTGCAATTTTGAAAAAGTCTGCTGAACTCAAACCTTAGAGGTGACACAAATGTACCTGGAAATTCAGCATGTTATTTCACACAAACAATGCATTCACTATGTGGCTCAGTAATAGAGAATGCACTGTAATCAAAGCTCTCTCCTACGAGCACTGTAAAATAACCAGAGCTACCACTGTAGGTGCCTCCTCATGGATGTTACTGACATTTATCAGCCACAGCCATTTTGTTGCAATACCCACCAGCGGACACCACCATCTCACACACATGGAGAAGGAAAAAAGCCCCATACTAATCTGAAACAGATTAAGAAAAAATTGGCATGAAATTCTAGAGCCCCTTCTAAATATTCTGGTAATGTAATATTTTTAAATCTGTGCAGTGCCATGGGGCTACTCCAGTCGCTGCTCTAAAAAGAGACCAATTGCTAATAACATCCCATCAGGAACCAAGTCCAGCAGCTCCCATAGCTCTTATCAGCACCAGAATTCACACCTACCATACAGGAGGCAGCAGAATCTCCTCCCTCAGCACAGTAAGTGTTTCCCAAGGTCCTGGCCACTTCCCCAGGTGCTGAGAGGATCCCAGAGGAATCTTCCGAAGTTAAGGAGCGTTTACAATTCTGGTTAAATGCCAACAGAGACACTTTGGCTGAATATACTAGCTCTTTCTCTTTCCCTCTTTGGAATAAATACTCCACTTGCTACCCCCAACATAAAACAGCAATGCACACAAACTGCCAGCCCATCATAATACAATGAGCCATATCCTTCAAAGGTCTATGGAGATTAACAAGGTCTGGATCTGCACAGGTAGTTTGCCTTCTTTGCACCCACAGCTGACACCCTGCTAAGGCACTGCTCTGAGGGACAGCACAACCATCTCCGTAATATCGGATACCTACAACTGTCCATTTCTGAAGGATCTTTTTCAGCTACAGACTTCTCCCTAAAGCAGCATAGGAATTGCCATACTAGACCAAGCCCCTGTGCCTTTCACAACAGGATTCTAATCTAGCAGAGGCCCCTCCATGCTGCCCCTACATGCTACTGAATACAGGTATTGAAACTCATACACATTAGCTTATGTTTCCTGCAGGCAGAAACAGGTTGTTATAGTAACAGGAGAGCAGCAGACAGAAGACAAAGCTGCAATTTTAATTTCAGTGAAAAGACAGGAAAGAGGCAAAAACCATGGCTTGTGCTTCAATAGCAGCCATGACAGATACTGGTTCTGTAGTCATCTATTTGAGATTTGCCCTGTTTAGCAAAGCTCTTCTAAATTAAAACTGAATACGTTCCGGTTACACAGTAGGGATGGGGGAATCGACCTGGACAAAACTGAACCCATTCCAGTTATACATATGGGATGTGGGGAATCGATCTGGAGAAAAAAAAAATCAGTTGAGAACTTCATCTAAGTAGTGCAAACTTTGCTTGAGGTTTGAATTAATTAAAAAAAAAAGTTTGCTTAACTTTGTGTTCACTTGGTCCTCGTCCTATGCCACCTGCTTTCAAACAGGGTCAGATGTACCAAAGGACCGTGATCAGGGCTAGAAGTCTGAATGACCCCACTGCCAGAGCAGAGATGTTCAGATAAGAATTTAAACAGAAGGCGTGAAACTTTTGGAAGCTCTTCCCTCCCATGGGTGACCTCCTCACATCCAGTAGATGGTACAGGTCTGCATGTACAAATCCCCTGGCTCCCTCAAAACTGAGCTGGTCATCGCTATGCACATTTCAATCAAATTTCGTTTCGGGGGTGGGGGGAAACTAGGGAAAGTATTCATTACATTTTTACCCTTTTCAGGCCTTTCTAGTTGTGAGCGTGTGCAGAAATTGCAGTCAATTCACAGTGCACGGAAACACAGCTGACCTACCTTAGCAGCACCAATTTGCTCCTTGCGGAATTTCTCCAGTGGAGTGATCAGGACCTCACCAGCATTCTCAATCTGATGAGATAAAGGCACAGATTATCATCATCTCTCCAGCATTGTCTACTCACACTTGCTTGGTTATTAACTGCTTTGTATCTGTCCAATTTAGGGTTAAGATCTTCAGGGCAGCGATCTTCCCTTCCTATGCATTTATACAAGGCAGAATTCACATTTCAATGCAAAGTGGTTTAAACCTGTCCAACGTCTAAAAAACAAAATGAAGAACCACTTTGTCTTTGATCAGAGGATCTCAAAACGCTTTGCAAACATTAACTCCCCTGTCAGAGACAGGGTCATCACCCCGCTTCACAAATGGATAAACTGAGGCACATAGAGGGGGGCGGTAATTTGCCCATCATATGGAGAAAAGTCATTGCAGAGTCAAGTATATGGTCAGTAGCAAAGCCAGAGTCTACAAATTCCAAAGCCCTAATTCATCTACTGACCAACACTTGTGACCTCTTAAATTCTTCCAGAGAAAGCTGCCCAGCTCACACTCCCAGCCAACCTACATCTCCTGTTGTCTAGGAATTCAGAAGCAAGCCTGTTAAGCCATTTACCCTGGATGCTCCCCATTACGCCAGTGCATAGCAGGGTACACCTTGCATGCACCAGGGTTACTCAGTTTAAAACACCAAATGTGAAAATGAAAGTAGTGAACGTTCTTTACAGCATAAAGCCAGCCAGGTGGAAAATCTGCAGATACAAGCGAGGACCCAATTTCCTTCCCAAAATAGAAAACCCACAGGTTATCGCACTGCTGGGAGGAACGAAACACATTGTATCTTAAACTAAAGCAGCTTCTGCACTTGACGGCAGCAGAGACACCGCACTGAGAGTGAAAGCAAAAACGTACCAACAGCCTGAAAAGAATAATTGGGCCTGTGTTCTGTCAATGTGGGGCCTGTTAGATTAAGTCACAGCTCGTTGTGACTTGCTGCCCCCCGGCATACTGCCGAGACTCAGTCCCTAAGAATAAATATTCCCATTCTTTCAGGCATAAAACCCAGTAGTCCTGGGTAGTTAGCTACACAGTGGCCCGTGGCCAAAACAGGCAAGAGGGACTCGCATAACAGCTTTGCACCCCACCCCTATAGAAGTCATGCAGCCAGCTCCTTCTCCCTCTAGTACATAGGTCAGGAGGAGTCATCACTGCATCCGTAATAGAACCTAATACCCATTTGAAAGTTGCCAAGACCTGGTGAAGGGACTCTGGTCAGCCCATTTCATGCCACAAGCCCACATCTCAAAATCAGTTCAATGCACCCACCAGTTTCAATTCACCACAGACCTCAGGCCGAGGTACCTAAAGCCCCGCTTTACTCTCCAGCCTATGTGAGCAGACGATAGGCGTCTCTCAACACCATAGTGACCCTGAACTCCTTGCCAACCCTCCCCTTTATCAAAGGATCATACAGAAGAAGGTTTAACTCAGAAGCCATAAGCCTCAAAGTCCATACCATGCGCATTCGCTCATCTTCGAGATTCCGGAGAACGGTGGCAAATTCTTGCAGGGATTTTGCTGAAAGAGACACACCAGCAGATTCAGTATATAAAATGGGCTGTAAAGTCTCTAAAGCTAAAGAAGTTTGGGCTACACATTTCCAGCAGTTAGTTACTCCTAACACAAAATACCAGGCAGTCAAGCTAGATCATGCTGTTACATCCTTACTTTATTAGTAGGTTGGCTGTTCATTAATATCTGCTAATAAGAGCAAAGAATTGGCTTTTGAATTTTGTTGGAATATATTCACGAGTAGCTGCATGCAGGTCTCTTCTGAACAAGTGCATGGAACTCCCTTGTGGCACAGCTATACTGTAAGTGGGATATGAAGCAGTATTTGCAGCCTTGCATGTACAAGTCTGCTCCAGGTTTGAATTCATAGAATCATAGAATATCAGGGTTGGAAGGGAGCTCAAGAGGTCATCTAGTCCAACCCCCTGCTCAAAGCAGGACCAATCCCCAATTAAATCATCCCAGCCAGGGCTTTGTCAAGCCTGACCTTAAAAACTTCTAAGGAAGGAGATTCTACCACCTCCCTAGGTAACGCATTCCAGTGTTTCACCACCCTCCTAGTGAAAAAGTTTTTCCTAATATGCAACCTAAACCTCCTCCACTCCAACTTGAGACCATTACTCCTTGTCCTATCCTCTTCTACCACTGAGAATAGTCCTAGAACCATCTTCTCTGGAACCACCTCTCAGGTAGTTGAAAGCAGCTATCAAATCCCCCCTCATTCTTCTCTTCTGCAGACTAAACAATCCCAGTTCCCTCAGCCTCTCCTCATAAGTCATGTGTTCCAGACCCCTAATCATTTTTGTTGCCCTTCGCTGGACTCTCTCCAATTTATCCACATCCTTCTTGTAGTGTGGGGCCCAAAACTGAACACAGTACTCCAGATGAGGCCTCACCAATCTTGAATAGAGGGGGACGATCACGTCCCTCGATCTGCTTGCTATGCCCCTACTTATACATCCCAAAATGCCATTGGCCTTCTTGGCAACAAGGGCACACTGCTGACTCATATCCAGCTTCTCGTCCACTGTCACCCTTAGGTCCTTTTCCGCACAACTGCTGCCTAGCCATTCGGTCCCTAGTCTGTAGCGGTGCATTGGGTTCTTCCGTCCTAAGTGCAGGACCCTGCACTTATCCTTATTGAACCTCATCAGATTTCTTTTGGCCCAATCCTCCAATTTGTCTAGGTCCCTCTGTATCCTATCCCTGCCCTCCAGCAGATCTACCACTCCTCCTAGTTTAGTATCATCCGCAAATTTGCTGAGAGTGCAATCCACACCATCCTCCAGATCATTTATGAAGATATTGAACAAAACCGGCCTCAGGACCGACCCCTGGGGCACTCCACTTGACACCGGCTGCCAACTAGACATGGAGCCATTGATCACTACCCGTTGAGCCCGACAATCTAGCCAACTTTCTACCCACCTTATAGTGCATTCATCCAGCCCATACTTCTTTAACTTGCTGACAAGAATACTGTGGGAAACCGTGTCAAAAGCTTTGCTAAAGTCAAGAAACAATACATCCACTGCTTTCCCTTCATCTACAAAACCAGTAATCTCATCATAGAAGGCGATTAGATTAGTCAGGCATGACCTTCCCTTGGTGAATCCATGCTGACTGTTCCTGATCACTTTCCTCTCATGTAAGTGCTTCAGGATTTATTCTTTGAGACCTGCTCCATGATTTTTCCGGGGACTGAGGTGAGGCTGACTGGCCTGTAGTTCCCAGGATCCTCCTTCTTCCCTTTTTTAAAGATTGGCACTACATTAGCCTTTTTCCAGTCATCTGGGACTTCCCCCGTTCGCCACAAGTTTTCAAAGATAATGGCCAATGGCTCTGCAATCACAGCCGCCAATTCCTTTAGCATTTTATTGCACTTTGTTGCAAATTTATTTATTTTATGTCACCTGGAAAACCAATCAATTCAGATTTGTTTCTGTCCTTATATTTTAGTGACATAGACACAAAGAGGAAATTCTGAACTGTGGACTTTTCCAGTGGTGCTGGAAAGCTGGTCTACCTGAGCAGAACCATGGTTGGGAGGAACAATATATACCAGCCTGGCTTTTCCCTAGTATATCTTCCCAAAAACAACCCATAGGCCCTTAAATTAGGCTGCTAGACATGTACAGCCATGATCTGGCAAGTTTATTGTGCAATCCCCCACTCCCAGACCCTTGGGGATGGACTGGATGACTCAATAGCTCTTTTTCATCTCTATTATTGACAGTTAACCATAAAAAAAAACAAAAAAACACCGATTTGTAAGAAGTACAGCCACAAAACTATACTCCCAGCCCCAAAGAAAAAGAGATGTTGCATTTGTCTTGAAAGTGAGCTACCCAATGGGCAATTCTTTATCCTCTGCTGGGTCTGTCTCACAGGGGATCTAGGGCATCTCACCTAGGATGTGAGGTATGACCAGTACTCTTGGTCATCTCATCTGACAAGCCCTTTCACTGCCTAAGTGAGACTGGGGTTTGGTTAAAAAATAAATAAATAAAAAATCATTGATTTAAGGTCAGTTGAAATAGGACACACTTACTAAAGATGAGACTTAAATCCAGTTTAGTTATATAGACTCCTGTTTGTGTGTAAAAAGCCTGACGGATCAACCTGGATAGTTGTTAGTTGATAGGCCTAATGGTGGTTAGCTGGGGAAAAACACCTAGAGGAGCTAGAACTAGAACTAGCTGCTCCTTTGCACTAAAGTAAAAGGCCATGTTTTGTTACCAGGATCACAACCTGAGGAATCCAACTGGATCCTCATCTCCTTCTGTTTGTCCAGAGAGCAGTGGCCAGGCGTGCTTTTTTCAACACTGCTTAGCAAGAAGGTTGCTTCTCTTTTGGATCAGGAACTTGCTATATTTAGCCATGCCTATGTCCCACCAGATTCACTGCTTTAAAATGGGAAGGGGCTAGTGGCAGGGTATTGCCGATGAAAAGCCCTGGACTCTGGAACTCTCTTTCCCTGGGCTTGACAGAGCCAACTTCAGGGCAAACTGCAAGATTCCAATTTCGCTGGGCTTCACACAAGGGCTGGGTTAAAAGGGAGATATTGTTTCTGCAGGTTGGGAAGGAGTTTAGTGGGGCTTCTGGGTCCATTGATACTTCACATGTATTTCTATCACATGTCTATGCACCTCGCTTTCTGATTAGCTTGATCCAGAAATATCAAGAGAGATCCCTTTAACAAATGTAGCCTTTCCACTTACCTATGCATATTTCATCATCCGTTTCTGCATCTCCTATACATCGGAATTTAAACTCATTTAGGGAATCTGCAAACTTCCGCTTTGCTGAAGACAGATCTGTTGAGAAGTGGGGAGGGAGAGAGAAGGGGAAAAAATGAAAAATCAGAGGTATTAAAAAGTATGCAATAGTCAGCCATGTCACCTCGGCACTGGATCCTGACAGATCTCCCCCAAGCTCAGCCTGCTTGCCTCAAGAGTACTTGATTGAGGTGCATACACCCTGCCAACCAAGAGAGATTCCAGGGGTGAAATCCTGGCACCACTGATGACAGCGGGAGTTTTGTCATTGTCTTCTATGCGACCAGCATTTCACCCCACATGCTGAATGGAATTCTTCCCTCTGAATAAGTGCTAAACCAATGTCCCTGCACTGTAGTATAGGAGACATGAGTTTAAATATCCTGACCTGTTATCCTCAAGGATCCCACCGAACTCTGCAGAAGAGTATGAATGGTAGCCCAGATGTCCCAGCTGAAGTCTAAATGGGTAATGAATCACATTCTGCCTCTTTTCTGCCATTAACTGGTACACGGTGTTCCCGCGCACTGTTCATCAGCTGCCCAATTCACCCCAGGCGACAACAGCATTTCAGTGGTGGGTGATGTGATTCCACTAGATAGCTTGCTAACCCTCCACATGACCTGTGGTTCTTTTGGTTTAAAGAAGCTGTCTAAGAAGTTAATAATACACCTGTTTATTACTTTACAATTCACAGCTTCTGTTCCCGATCCAAACCCCATTAAGTTACCACATACCACCTTGCATGTGGCAGGCTGTTTTCCAAAGCCCTTAAGTGTCTCAGGAGCACAGTGCCAATTGGCTCTGGGTATGAACCGTGCTCCTGAGTCACGTAGAGGCTTTGGAAATCCCACCAGTCACCGGATCTAACTGTAAGATGATTTACTTTACTTCCTCACTCCTATTCCCCGATAGCTCCACCCAATTTCACAGAATTCAGTGACGTTTCTTTCTCTCTCAACAAAAAGACGTTTCTCAACACCACTTTTAAAAAACTCGTAAGGCAGACAATACGGCAGCAAAAGAGGTGATCAATCCTTTCCAGTCAGTGAGTATAAATAGGAAGGAATAAGCCAACAAAACTCTCCCCAAACTTCAAGCGATAATTATCTTCAGTTTCTGGCTGAGGTGTTAGTCTTTATGTTATCTGAACTGACTATCCCCACTCTTAGCATCACCGGGGGCAAGCCATTGCATGAACACCTAGGCCCTGATTCCCGCAAAGGTTTCAATGCAACTGAAGTTACACCTTGCAGTGTATGCAGGCTCAGGCCACCTGAAGAGGGAAAAGAATTCTGTCACACACAATAAGCAAGATGATCGTCCTAGGAAAGTGAACATGTAATCCAGGCTCGGGAAAGGATCCAGCATCAGAAAGAAAGGTCAGTGAGCCAGCAAAACCTGCCAGTTATGACATGAATGGAAGGAAGGACAATCACTGCTTTGTGAAGGTCTTTTTACCTTCAGAAGGCAACAGAACGTCACTGTTCCATTCCATTTCAAGAAATGCATATTTGTGACCCACAGAGATCTTAAAAGGGACCATTTGTGCTTCTTTTGAGGGGGGAGGAGCAAAGTGCAAAGGGACTTTTGGAAGCTGTTCTGGTCATCAGGACAATTACCCACAAGCACATGGCTCAGCTGCCGGGAAGGGACATGGGAACAAAACGTTTACATTTTTTAAAAGGATACTCCCAAGACAAGTGTCTTTTGCATAAAAGTCTCTTTACTTGTTACTAAAAATCGCCCAGCTCTTTACTGTCTCATCCTTTATGTGGTTGCTTTGCTTTTTGTGCTGCCACTTATACAGCAAAGCTAGAATGGCTCATGCTTTTGGACCTAAGTTACTTGGTCGCATCCCCTCAAGACCAAAAGAATGCATCTCAGAAATCGGTGCCTGCTTCCTCCTGATTTCAAATAGGTTTATCCGCTGAAGGATACTCAATGTCAAGCACAAAGTAGCTGTTTCCCCACATCACATACAGCTTCCATTATCTACACACACCTTTCATCTCTTTATGTGCTGCTGCCACGCCATTCCCAGGCTCCACTTACTGGTCAAACTGGTTTTCCAGCCCCCTAAACATTGTGTCAGCAAAAAGTCCTGGCATCCCATTGCTTTTCTCTCTCCCCAATCCCCATAATTTACTTGGGACAATGGAGGAATCCAGCCTGCCCCTCGGAGTTCCAGGATCACTGCAGGAGGCTTTGGGGGGTGCACGTACAGTAGTTCATTTGTATTTTACAAAGCAGCCTTTTTGCTTCTCTAGGTTGTTTTGTTGAGGGTTTGGGAGATATTTTAAAAGGGAACTTTGGGGGAGGGCAGAGTGAAGGTGGTTTGTTCTTTTACTCTCTCAGAGTTTTGCTCCTGGACGATACAAAGCCCTCAGAAGAGCAGAGGGGCAGAGCGTTCAGGGAGCACAAGAATGCAGCTGCAGCATTACATACCGTGGGCTGTATGGCCTCAAATCTTTCTTCAGGAATTGGGAAGCATAGTGTGTTGGGGTGAGGCCTCTCCAATTAACGCACTGCCAGGGAAGCATGGTCGTCAACCCACAAGTCCCTACCTAAGTTATCTGAAATGCTGCTTATATTAAGAGCCAATGTAGCGAATGGGTCAGGGGTGGTGCATGCAGGTGCAGGCGCATGTTATTTTTCCAGAAAATCATTATTAAAAACCCCAATACTTGTAATGCCGAATTCTGGTTACGCTGAAGCCGACAGTATTGGTTTATTGGGGGTGGGCGTGGTCACATAAACCCCCAGCCCACAAAGTGTTCTGACTGATTTGCAAAAAAAAAAAAAAAAAAAAACCACAAAAACAAAAACAAACAAACCACCTTCTGTTTCAGCATTTGATATACAAGAGAGAGAACTAAACTTGCTCGCTGCCACAGGGCTGGTGGGCTTGTGAGGGTTCAGAGTTTAACTTGATCACTCAGGAGCTATGCCAACCTTCTGTTTGTGTAGCTAATAATAAAGAAATTGACGTTAAGTACACAAGGAGCCATTTCCTGTTTCCAAGCTCAATGCTGACCTTCGGGGCTCCTGGTTTTGTTTGCAGCATATTTTGCTGTACTCGTCGTCCCTTTAAGCACACCAGAGGCTTAATGACATCCTGACTATATTATGTGCTGCAGATTCCCCAGTCAAAACAGATTTACTACAACATCATTCACTCCCACAGCTTTCTGGGCAGGATCCAAATGCCACATTCTGGCATGGAGAGGGGGAGTGGAGAGAAGCTGGTAAAAAAGCTGGCAATGAGCCAAGCACACACAGAGTCCAGCTCACACATTTCAGCCCATTTCAAACCAGTAGCATAAAACATGACTGAGAATAAACCAAGGTCAATCATATTAACATTTCAGCCGCATCCATTTCAGCATCAGTGTTTTGTACAAGAAACTGGGAGCCAGGACAATTGGGCTCTTTTCCTAGCTCTGCTGTAGCAATACAGGATCCAATGTGGTGATGGGCAACTGAACCACTTCTCCAAAAGCCCCCAGCCTGAGGACATCACCGGGATCCATTTCATCTCCATGGAACCGTGTGTGGTGAGAACACACAGTCTCCATGGCCAGCCATACACTGGTGGCACCTGTGTTCTCGCTCTTTTCATGGTCGCACCTAATGATGTCACAATGATGTCCTGGGGTCTATAGGATGAAAAACAGCTGCTTCAAAACTAAACCTAGGCAACGTTGAAGTTATGCTGCTCAGATGGGAGGAAAGCATTTAAGCATTAGCATGGATACCATCATCTCCTTCCCACTGAAGGCATCTGAGGATCATTTTGGTCAATGAGGGACAGTCTAGTCCGGCTAGGGTGATCATATTTCCCAAAGGGACACTGCCCAGGGCTGGCCTGAGCCCCTCCCTCCAGTTGCTCACCTGCCTGCCAGCCCCCACCTGGAGCTGGCCCCAGCTGCTTGCCCCCCACTTCCCTCGCCTCCCTGGCCCCAGTCGCTCGCCCAAGCCCTGCTATCCCCCCGCTCAAGGCTGTCGCTGGTCACTTGAACCATGCCGGCCCCTCCACTCCACACTGTTCCTCTACAGGGCACCCCACGTTTTTGACAAAAGTGAGCATTTGTCCCATTTGCTCTTGCCAACTGAGCCAGCTGACAAGAGCAAATGGGACAAATGCTCACTTTTGCCAAAAAAGTCAGGACAGCAGGGACGGGGCTTAAAAAAGGGACTGTCCTGGCCAAAATGGGACATATGGTCACCCTAGGTCCAGCTCGATTCCCTACCCTAAGACATACGGAATATTGCTACATAAAACTAATTTACCAGGAAAATCCTTCAGCATTATAGAAAACCACAATATAGATTAGATAGCTGGGGAAGTGGGAGACAAAAATTCAAAAAGGGACTTGTCCAAGGTCTTCCAGCATGTCATCAGCACAGCCAACCTTAGAGTTCAGGAGTTTCTGTGACTCCAAGCTCAAGATCATCCCTGAGTGTACTTCTGAATTCTGATGGGGTCGATACATTCACCTGTTATGTAGCAGCTGCACATGCTTGCCGTTCATAATCAAATTTCTGAACCCCAACTAGCTACATGAACTATTTTAGGTGCAGATGTGTGGACCATTATAGTGAGGCTGGCTTAAGATCTGCACTCGGCTGCTCATTTAAAACATTTCTTTGTGGTATAAGCTAAGCCAGAAGTGCTTCAGAGCAAAGTGACAGCCTTCAAAGACCACGCCTGTCTTTTGCTACACTTCAACAGTCTCCCACAGTGCATTATAAATAGACAGAGGACAGGAGACAGATAATTTCCAGCACACAGAGATAAATGAAAATTGCTCACAGCTACTTGCTAAACCACACGATCAAATTACAAGGAATAAACCAGGCAGCTAAATTAAAGACAACCTGAATGTACCAAGGGCGCTGTGCAGATGAGGCTAGAAAGGGAGGGATAGGGATGGGACCATTTTGCACATCTCATCTATTACAAAAAAATGATTTAAGAACCATCTCATGTAAATATAGACAAATGGGTTTTCTGTTCCCCTTTCTGTGTCAATACT